GGGAGCGGGTGGGGAAGGGGGTCGGAGCTGCCCTCAGGTGCCTAGGGCGGGCAGGGAGGCCGCTGCCTCGGTGCGGGGAGAGCGACACGCCGCCCACCACACCCCCCCGCCGCCGCTGGCGGGGGTTTGTGTTGCCTCCCCGTGCCCAGCCCCTCACCCGGTGCCGGTGTGTGCTCTGTTGCAGCCCTGATCAGCCTGTCCTTCGGGGGAGCCGTCGGCCTGATGTTCCTGATGCTGGGATGCGCCCTTCCCCAGTACAAGTAACGTGCACTCTCTTCTTCTCCCTTTATTTTTTGGGCATGACTTTAACTCCCAAAAGGTTTGGCTTTCATAACAAGTCCGGCTGTTCTGGTTTGAGGAACCCACAACAATTTATTGTCCTTCAGACAATTATTCTGTCACCCATTCATCCCTCCCCACCTGGGAAGGAGAATTGGAACAAACAGTGAAACCTGAGGGTTTAAATATAAACAGACTTAATAGATGACTAGATAATTAACACTAATAACACTAAAGAACTAAATATTGATCCTGATACCAATATTAAAAAAAACCCACAAGGATTATCCTCAGCCAATTCTCTCAGCAGGAAGCCGTGCACTCCCAGCAGGGGACACCAAATGTGGGACACTGCGAGTGCTACGGCTTCAGGAGGAAGGGAAAGGCTCAGAGATCCAGTGCTGGGGCAGGAAGTTCTCAGGATGGCAGCCATCAAAGAGGAGCAGAAAATCCTCAGCAAACTTTCTAATTATATTGAATGTGATGTTCATGGCATGACATAATCCTGTTGGCCAGCTCGGGCCAAGTGCCTGGGTCTCACTCCTCTTCATCCCTACACCTGGCAAGGCTTGAAAACACTGAGACTCTGAAACCCTCATACCGTAGCTGGCTATAAAGTAAATATTTTCATAAATTCAGGCACTAGTCTTCTAAAAGTGCAGTTTTCCCAAGTATTAGAAGATAAATTAGTCCTGTGTTGCTCAAACCCAGATACCATCCAAGAGTTAATTCACCATAAACGTGAAGGCAACCAAAGTTAAATTACCAGGCCTGGCTGCAGACCGTTACAGAATGCACTGTCCTCACGTGTCTCCAATGTTGTCCCTTTGTGGCTTATCAGCAGATAGCACCTCCTGAACTAGAGAGCAAGTATCCATTATCAGGGAAGTGTTTGTGTTTTCTCTGGCTACTTGGTGGTAGCTGGGTCCTTGCCTGGCTACTGCACTTGGTAATGTAGCATCTGGAGTAATTGCAGCTGCTATCGATCTGTTGATTCTGTCTCTCAGTTTCCAGGAGATATGAAGCAATAGAGTGATAGTTCAGGAAATCAGGCCTGTGGCTGTGACCCTTTGCTGACTTTATAGGAAATCTTTTAAACGTTAAATAAATGCCTTATATCCTGTTTGTAGCCCTTCTGTTAGTGGTTGTGAATTGCAGTTTTCTACATATCTGACTGGCTTTCTTATGCCAGCTTTCTTTTGTTATAAAACCAGGGCTGGTGACACAAACCCATAGGAAGGAGGTCCTCCTGCAGTCACCCTTCAAACAATGCAGTCAAGTTTTATTGTAACAATGTGCAGCTGCGTTGGTGTGTCTGAGAAATCTAGTCTGGAGAGCTGCAAGCAATAAAAGAAAATGTTGCCAAATACGATGGTGTAATTTTTGTATGTTTTGGTTACTTGCATTCAGATTTAAGAAAAAAAAATATATCTCAGTGCCCCGAGCACTGGCTGAGAACAATACTCTGTTCCACCTGTGTTCACTGAAAGCTTATGGGCGAAACGATGCGAGGGCTCTACAAATGTATCTCTGCAATTCTTAAGGAAAGCTGACAGGTTACACTTATGAGTTAAGCTCATCTTGTGAGGTGGCGTTAGATTTAAGCTTGGCTTAGTGAAATCTTGCTTTAAGAATATCCTGTTAGTGAGCTCTCTGGAGCTGCTGCCGAGGTCAGCTGAAGCTGCTCACAAACTGTTGGATACATGTCAGCTTGCTCCAAAGTGGAGGCTTTGCTTTCTGTGGACTTGTGTCAGTCTTTCCTGAGCGGGGATGCTGGATGGGGAAAATGCCTTGCATTGATTTTTGGGAAGAACAGGAAGTAAATCAAGTTAACTTTTCTTCTCCTTTCTTTTTCAGCCAGTACTGGCCACTGTTTGTTCTGTTTTTTTACATCCTTTCTCCTATCCCGTACTGCATAGCAAGAAGATTGGTAGATGACACAGATGCTACAAGTAATGCCTGCAAGGAGCTTGCAATATTTCTTACAACAGGCATTGTTGTCTCAGCATTTGGGCTGCCGATAGTGTTTGCGAGAGCAGAACTGGTTAGTAATATTTCCATCTATGATTTTGTATTTTTTTTCCTAGAAAATTTTGTTCTTTATGGTTTTTTTTTAACTGAAGGTAAAGCTGCCATGCACTAAGCAACTTTTATAAATATGTTCTTAAGATTCTTGCGGTGGAAACAGAGTAAGAATTTTCTTGGCAAGAAAAACAGATACTAGAAGCAGAAGCATGGCAGAATGTCAGGATTGCCAGTTGCTTCTTGTGGTCCTGAAATAAAAGCCCTCACAGTCTATATGCAATGCAGAGAAAATGAGACAGAGGGTAGTATGAAAACTTAACAGGCACGTGACCAAATATATAAAATAATACTTTGAAGGCAGTTTGTGGAATAGTTGGTCTAAAGAAGCATGCATAAACAATGCATTTTTGCACACAACTGTAAATGATATTGGTGGTGTTATTTAAATTTCTGAGTTGTTATTATATCTTTCCCAGTATACAGCTTTTCACTAAAATCCTGTAAAAGATGACCTTGCCCGCGTGAATTTCAGAGAGCACTACTAGGTCAGAAACATGGAGGGCACTTTCCTAAAATCTCTTTAGGCAAGAACAGCTCAGAAGTGTTTGAATGCCTCACACCCTTTGAGTAATTCACTCGCTCTCCTTGAAAAGCATTCACCTCCTTTTTTGTTACTGGGATAATGCTCGCCTTTTGAAAACCTCATCCTTAAATGTCTGTTTAAAAAAAGTCCTATAGCACGGGTAGCAAGTATAGCTGGGCTGCAGATGCGTTTGATGCTGTTGCCTAGCCTTACTTGACTATTTTTGGATGTTACAGCAAAACAGCTGTGCCTGCTAGCAAGGGCTTTGTATGCAGCCAGAAGAAACTTGCAGTGGTGCTTGGCTGACTGTGGAACGGTCTAGTAATTTGGGGAAAACCCAGCTCAAATAATGAGATACCACCTTCTTGCATCACAGACCTGTTGCTGAACTTTGTCTGTAATGTGATATTAAGACGTCACCTTTTGTCATGTCAGTATTCAGTTCAAAACACGTCTAACTAAATTCCCCTTGTTCACAGATCTACTGGGGCGCCTGTGCACTTGTTCTTACCGGGAATACCGTCATCTTCGCCACAATCCTAGGATTTTTCTTGGTCTTTGGCAGCAATGACGACTTCAGCTGGCAGCAGTGGTGAAAGGAAGATAGGAGAACTATCCCTGGCATCTCCTCATGCAGTGGCCATCCATACAAATGAGAGAATGGGCAATAAAGAGAAGTAGCGTAGCAAGCCTCTTGAGTATTCTAGATGCTCCTTTTCACCTTGTTCGTTCTGAGTGTACTACTGTTGCTGACAGGGTTTCTACATTTTTATGAAGCGGAGAGAGGATTGATTTCATTTTTACCTATGGTATGTTTTTAGGTGCTCTCTTGGTTTAAAATTGTCATCCCTCTGTCCGGTGTTTATGTGAAGCTTTAAATCTGGAATAAGAACATTTAAACATGGTTTCAAAGAAGATTTAAAGTTGGGGATTTTTGGGGGGGGAAGGTGGTGTTTTATTGGTTTTTGGTTTGTTTGTTTGTTTTTTTTTTTTTTAATTTAAGCATTAATACTATGTTTCAAAATAACTTTTTTTTTATATATAGTGATTAAATTATGTACAAACTGAACTGAGGTAAGAGATTGTGCACCACTATTGTCAATTACCAGATCAACAGATTTTTTGCTATATTTTAGCAGAGGCAAGGCGGGGCGGGGAGTACAAGTTGCAGATTTTTCTTCTGCCCATACCTCAAACTGGGTGATGAATGTTGATAGCCTTCATTTCAGGAGAAGGCTGAGGAGCAGGTAGAGTTATTTGGGAGAACTCCTAAATTTTAACACTGCTAGCACTTTTACCTGCTTTGTTATCAATTCTTGCGTGGATGTGACATTCAAATACTCTGTAAATGTATTGATGCTATGACATGCAAAACTAAAGTATATTGTAGGGGAAGGGAAAATGAAGTTTAAATTCCATTTTTTTAAATAATATCTTTTGAACTCTTTCTATTTATAAGTATTGTATGATTTTGAACTTTTATGTCAACTTTTTACCATAAAGATGGTAAAATGTTCATTTTTGGAACTACTGGTCTCTGGTCTGTGTTAATTTGAAGCATATACAAAGCTATTTCCTCCGTCCCCTTTTTAATTTATTTTATACATAGTATATATATATATAATAAAACAGCTTTTCAAATGTAGATTAAAACTTTGTGTTAAACTTGCCTAAGTGATTTTTTTTTTTTTTTCCCCTTCACGCAGTGCAGTTGAGGCATGACTTTTGGAAGTCACTGGCTGAACTGATTTCACTGACTGTTTTTAAGTTCTTATGCGCTATCAGTTAATAAGATTTAATGTTATGTCTGTAACTGTAGCTTGTGTTCTGTAAGATTGCACATGTAGCTTCAAATATTTAAGACGTTTTCTGCATACCTCTCAATTGTCTGGATTTTTCATTTAAAGAAATCTGCCATTAGACATTCCATCATGAGATAGTTGATGAGTACCACTTAACTGGGTTTGATTGTACCATGTGCAGGGATAAAGTTGACCAAACATAAACTATATTTTTGTTCCAATTATTTAAAAAAACCAAAACAAACCTCTAGGAAAGTTACTGTGCATAATTAAAAGCTGAGGATCGCTTAGGTTTTGCTTAAGAGTGGAACACTATGAACAGGCACAGAATTGCAGGTCTTAGCCATAGTATTTGTGCGCAGATGTAGACAAAGATGTAAAGCTTGACTGTTTCAAGTCTGATAGTAATGGTAGCTACTTACACAATGTGCTCAAGGGAGTGATGGCAGCAGGTAGGGGCAGCAGGGGTGTAGCTACCTACAGGCGCTGCTTTGTTAACGTCATCCTGTGTTTAAATTCAGAGCTTGATTTTTATCCATCCTGGTAGAGGAACGAATAGGTGCCATGACCCTCACGCAGAGCCAATGTGTAGCAGATGGTCTTCCAGTCATAGGCAAGTGCTTCACCAGGCTGCCCACCATGGTGGTGTTGGGAGGTTCATGAGGGCTGTGGGTCACTCTTTTCATGGCCTTTTGCAGCAAGACCTCTGCATCCCTGAAAATCTCCCAAACCAGTGACTAAATTTGGATTCCTTAGCAGTCCTTGCAAAGCAGGAATGCTTAGGACTTGCACAAATCTTCCGAATCTGTGGTCAAAAACTGTTTTCTTTTCCACTCCTGTGCTGCCAAGCTTGCTTCTCAAAGTGATGCTGCTCTCTGGATGACTGGCCATAGACCTGACAATGTATGTATTGGCAGTGCGTTTTTTTGTATGTTAATTGCATTACAGCGTTCCCTTTTTTTGCTGTCACACGGGGTATGCACAGTATTGCTCCGATTTCTGAGCTGGACACTTGAGAGGTATGATCCTTCCATGTCATATGCACTGAGATAGCATTGCCATCCTTCTAGAGGGAAAAAACTTTGAACGATAAAAATTTTAAATAGCAAACAACGAGTTCTGTATGTTTAATCAAAAATACTCGAATAAAAGAGTATTTTGTTTAAAGTATTAATTGTTGTTTTTTTTTTTCTTTCTTTAATGTGGTTGTCACTACTGTTGAAGGGATGTGAGCAGATCACTCAGTAGTCCTTTGGAGTGAGTATTTGTGTCATTTACCTTGGAATACTCGATAAAAAGAGGCTCAGTTGCCTGGGGCTCTGCTGGTCACATCTCACACCTGCAGTTTTGCTGCAGTTTGTGTTTGAAGTCCAAATTATGATCTGTTGGGATCGTTACACAAACCGATAGCCACCTTCACCCTCTGAAGTATTTATGATTTTTATTAACCCCCCCCCAGCCTTTGTAATATTTGTAATCATTCATGACACTGCTGAAATTTGAAGACTGATGGTCATCTTTTAGCAGAAGAAACTAATGGGAATTGATGGAAAATCCTTTCTTTTTTTTTGGGGGGGATTGGGTGGGCATTCACCCTCTTCCCCCTGCAAACACACACATGCTCACTTTGGTCGTATCTGTTGACTTTATTATTATTTTTTATTATTATTCGGGGTGGCGAGGGGAAGGTTGGTTAAAATATTAACAGAAAAAAACCCCACTCTTCAGTTAAAACATTAGAAGAGAAGCGGAGCCGAGTAATTTGGCAATAACCGGGGCGCTACAGCCGCGCGCTCTTTTTTTTGATGAAGTCAAACTCAAAGGGTTTGAGTAAGAGTAAAAAATCTGAGGGCAATGAAGAAAATTCCAGCCCCTCGGCTCAGCAAGCGGACACCCTCCCTTCTCCCCCCTCAGCCGCTTCTGAGGGAGCGGGGCGGGCGGCGACGGTCTGAGGGGAGGAGAGAAGGCGGGAACGATGGCGGTGTGAGGGGAGGAGAGGGGGCGGGAGCGACGGCGGTGTGAGGGGCGGGCCGATCCTCCCCTTCTCGACGTGGCGGCCGGGGCGCGCAGCCCATTCCGCTTCCAGGGCAGCTGCCGCCCCGCTCCTCCCCTCCCGAGGTGCTTTCTCCTCCCGGTTCCAAGATGGCGGCGGCGGCGGGGGGCGGCGGCGCGGGGTCGGCGGCGGCGCTGTGGAGCGAGGTGAACCGCTGCGGCCAGAACGGCGACTTCGCCCGCGCGCTCAAGTCCGTTAACAAGAGTGAGTGACTGAGGGAGGGAGGGCGGGCGTGAGGGGCCGCCGCCATGTCGGCGCCGGGCCCAGCCGCGCCGCGAGGCCGTTAACGGCGTCCGTTCCCTGTCCTCCCCCGGCCTCGCATCTTTCCCGGGCGGGCTTGGCCTTGTGCAGGGGCCCCGCGGACCGGGGTACGGCTGTGGTGGGCAGCGAGGGGTTCCGTGTGCTGGCAGCATGCGGAGGGGGATGCGAGTGGGGCGGCCGCCTGGGCCCCGCTCCCCTACCGGGACCGTCGGTGGCTGCTGTTGCCTGGCGTAGGCCTTGGTGTGGGCCGAGCCCTCGGGGATGCCGGTGGGTTTCCTTTCAGCTTCGGTCGTGGGAGGAAAGGAAACTGCTTTTCCCCCCAGGAGCTGAGGCAGCGTTGTTGGTGCATACAGACTGACTGACTCGGGAGCCATAACCGGCTCGCGATGGAGAGACCAGGCTGGGCTGTGTTGTTTTGAGAGCTGGCCTTCCAAAATGGGGTTGCATTATAAGGCACGTTGTGGCTGGAACTTCTCTCTTTGCTGTTTGTAGGCAATAGGGACTCATCTGTCCCGGCAGATCTGAGTGTTGGGGTCACATTAAAAAATCAAATACCAAAACCTGTTTCTTCTAGCTCTCCCTCACTGTCTTCCAGTGACAGAAAGTATTAGCACGTAAAGTGACTGCCTGTCTAGAGCCATATGGTTCTTCTATATCAGGTGTTTTTCTTCCTGTATATGCTTTACGTGGCACTCAGGTTTTGGCACTGTGTTCTCTGCCTGGAAATGAAATGCGCCTGAAAGGTTTGTCCAGGTGTGTATAGCTCCTTTGGTGCAGCTCTGTTCCAGGTATGTTAGCACAGTGGTTCCTTGGGGTAAGTTCAGTATTTACACTGAATTCTTTTATCCTGACAGGATTTGTTTTATAATCTGAGCCAAAGCAAGCTATGCCAGGACCATGCCGTGGCCTAAATTGATGTGACTGCTCTCTGTGATGGGTTTTTGCAACTAAGAACATATGGCTCTTACAAAACCTTAGTCTGTGTGATAATGAGTTGAATCTTTGTGTTGAAGCTGGTTTCCCTTCCAGTACTGCAGATCAGCAAAGACGATGTGACGGCACTTCAGTGTAAAGTAGTGTGTCTTATCCAGAACGGGAACTTCAAGGAAGCCCTCAGCGTAATCAACACCCACACTAAAGTGTTAACCAGGTGAGTTGTGTCTTGCTGTACTCTACAAGATATGAAGCAAGTCCTTGAGAAGCTGCTGCAGCGTCAGTGGAGGGGACTAATAGGCAGCAAAATAAAGAGCAGGGGGTACTCAGAGCCTTTGGGATTGGGTTTCTCAGTGAAATGCTGATTTATTCTGAGTGTGAGAGTGGGTCTGGATGAGTTTGAGGTGGTCTAACAGTTTGCTGTTACTGTTGAAGGGATTGCCCCTTATCTAGTTTTCAGCCACCTTTGTGAGCTGATTCTGCTTGTTGATGTGGTTGAGCACCGTAGCTGGTACAAGGGAACAGGACAGATCTCATGGGGAGTGAAGAGAGAAGGGAGAAGCCCTTGCCATTGGCAGCAAGCTGTTAGCTTTGCTTGGCTGTCTTGTCATACTGCTCCTTGGGCTCCTTTTCTTTGCCAGCCTGAAGGTACTGCTTCAGCTTTTGGGATGATGCAGGCCCTTTCTATGTCTTCTCAAAATCAGAACCTTGGAGACAACTTGTGTTTGAGAACAAGTCAAGCTTCCCATTTGTGTCATTAAGCAGACTCTGATTTTTTTCCTAATAAATGTGCTCTTTGTGCAATGCCTGGGATGAAATTTGCTACCCAAGAATTGCCTGGTAGCAAAATTTTTGTATTTCAGATACTGCTCTTTTGTCCTCACTTGAGATAGGAAAAAAACCCAATTTTCTTCTCAGTAATTTTACTGTTCAGTGAAGTCTCTTCTAACTAACTGCACTCTCTGAAATGAACGGTATATTTTTCAAACAATGTGTGCTTCTAGCAGTGATAACATCTGATGTGTGTAGTTAATACCAAGGAATGGTATGCAGAGAGGCTCTTGCTTATACTTATTCCCATAACAACCAAGGTCAGCTAACTGTGTTATGTTGGAGGGCTGGGTGTGGAAGAGTGTGGAGGGATCGCATCTGTGGGGAAGAGCAAACAGGACAGGTGATCCAAACCTGACCAACAGGGTATTCCATCCCATCTACCACATGCTTAGTATAAAGCTGAGGGATCAAAGGGGGTCACACCTCTTCTTCAGTGGCTGGTGTCCAAGGAGGGCTCTGTTCTTCTGCCTTTGATCCTGATCTGTGTGTTCCTGAATGCAGTTCTTGAATTCAGTTCCTGTCTCCCCCGTGTCCAATCCTAGCACTTGTCAGTGACGTGGTCAACATCCTGGGAGCTTGATATTGGTTTTGTATATGTTTGTGTACATTTCACTATTTTCTTATTAATATTATTATCTTTTATTGTTAATATTTCATTATAGCTGTCCTAGGTTTTTTTCAGCTATGAGTCCCTCTTCCTTCCCCTTCTGGGAAGGGAGAGGGGTTAATAAAGAGCATCTGTCATTCATTTAGTGGACAGCCCAGCCTAA